ATTTGACATACATACATTGGAAAGAGGATGATAGAAAAGTCTGCAACATTTGAAAGGCTGTGAACTCCAGTTTTTAAAAAGTGTGTCAAGATGGCTCAACGTGCCAAAAGCAGTTTGGCTCAGTGGATAGAGCGTTGGCCTGCGGACTCAAGGGTCCCAGGTTCGATTCCGGTCAAGGGCATGTACCTTGGTTGCGGGCACATCTCCAGTAGGAGGTATGCAAGAGGCAGCTGATCGATGTCTCTCTCTCATCGATGTTTCTAACTCTCTATCCCTCTCTCCTTCCTCTCTGTAAAAAAGTCAAAATATATTTAAAAAGATTGGTCAACGTTGGGCTGGGGTATGTGTGAACTGTTCATGCTGTGGCCGCATGGTGGCGCCCTGGGAGCTGATAAATGGGCGGGCAGGGCTGCAGACAGGCCAGAGGCACAGTGCCCCGACTGCAATTTCAAGTAGAGCCTTTTGTGCATTTGTTCAGTGGAGGTTCTTGTTAGTCTCCGCCTCGCACCTGTCGCTGCCAAACCAGTTGTCTTAGAACAGCAGGTGATGGTGATAAAGTGCTCTGGAGAAAGCAGAACAACTGCTGGACACTTAATCACATTAGTTTACGAGGCAGGAGGCTTTGGAATATTGGCGATGATACTAAGATATAAAAAATGTCTTTACATCATAGCTATAAAAAGGATCATACTATTAGAATATTATGAAAGACTACATGCTACCAAATTCATTAACTAGAAGAAATAGATTTGTTCTAAAAACATATAACTTTCCTAGACTAACACATGAAGAATTGGAGAATCTAAGTAGACTGATCAGCAGTGAGGAAATTGAAACAACCATAAAAAACCTCCCAAGAAATAAAAATCCATGACCAGATGGCTTCACCCGTGAACTCTACCAAATTTCAAAGAAGATTTAAAACCTATACTTCTCAAACTCTTACAAAAAAAAAAAAAAAAAATTGAAGAAGAGGCAGTACTTCCGAACAAATTTTATGAGGCCAATATATCCCGGATACCAAAACCTGGCAAACATAACACACAAAAAAGAAAACTGTGGACCAATATCTCTGATGAATACAAATGCAAAAATCCTAAACAAAATACTAGCAGATCAAATACAACAGTGTATGCAAAAATACACATCATGATCAAGTGGGGGTTATTCCATGGGCACAGGATGGTTCAACATACGAAAATCAATCCATGCAATAGGCCACATTAACAAAAGAAAGGATAAAAATCATGTGATCTTATCAGTAGATACAGAAAAAGATACAACATCCATTTGTGATTAAAACACTCAATAAAATAGAAATAGGAGGAAAGTACCTCAGCATAATAAAGGCCATATATGATAAACCCTCAGGTAATACGTACTCAGTGATGAAAAACGGAACATTTTTTCTCTAAGATCAGAAATAAAACAAGGATGTCCACTCATCACTCTTACTCAACATCATGCTGGAGGTCCTAGACAGAGCAATGAGGCACAAGCAAGAAATAAAAGGCATCCAAATAGGGATGTAAGATGTCAAACTGTCGCTTTTTGAAGGTGACATAGTTTTCTATGTAGAAAACCCTAAAAACCCCACCAGGAAACTATTAGGAACAATAAACAAATATAGTCAAGTTGTAAGATACAAAATCAATTTGCAAAGATCCATTGCCTTCCTGTGTACTAAGAACAAAATTTAAGAAAAAAAAAATTCCTTTGGAAATTGCAACCAAAAGAATAAAATACCTAGGAATAAACTTAACAAAGAATGTGAAAGACCTATATACTGAAAATTACAAAGCATTATTAAAATAAATTGAAAAAGATACAACAAAATGGAAAAATATCTTGTGTTCATGGATTTGGAAGAATCGACATAGTTGAAATAGCCATATTATGCAAAGCAATATACAGATTTAAAGCAATCCCCACCAAAATACCAAAGTCATTTTTCAAAGAGATAGAATGCGAAATCATCAGATTTGTATGGAACCACAGAAGATCCTGAATAGCCAAAGTAATCCTGAGAAAAAAAGAACAGAACTGGAGGTATCAAGCTGCCTGCCTTAAATTTATACCACAGAGCCATGATGATCAGCACAGCATGGATTGGCAAAGAAACAGACACACAGATCAGTGGAATGGAATAGAGAGCCCAGCTTTAAAACCAAATGTCCTACCCTGTTTCCCCGAAAATAAGACAGTGTCTTATATTAATTTTTTCTCCCAAAGTTGCACTAGGTCTTATTTTCAGGGGATGTCTTATCTTTCCATGCGCTAGGTCTTTTTTTCGGAGGATGTCTTATTTTCGGGGAAACACGGTAGTGTTATCATGGACATAATTTTCTTATATATATTATTGACTTCATATATGTAGTGGGAGAGAGAGATAGAAACATCATTGATGAGAGAGAATCATTGATCGGCTGCATCCTACACGCTGGGAATTGAGCACACAACCCGGCCATGTGCCCTGACCAGGAATTGAACTATGACCTCCTGGTTCATAGGTCGTCACTCAACCACTGAGTCACACCAGCTGGGCTGGACAGATAATTTTCGACAAAGGAGCCAGAAACACACAATGGAGTAAAGACAGTCTCTTCAATAAATGCTGCTGAGAAAACAGGAAAGCCACATGCAAAGGAATGAAACTGGATTGCAACTTGTCCCCGTGTACAGAAATTAATTCGAAATGGACCAAAGACCCAAATAGAAGACCCAAAACAATAAGTTACATAGAAGAAAATATAGAAACCAAACTTATGGACCAGGGACGTAGAAAACATTTTATGAACTTGACCCCAAAGGCAAGGAAAGGAAAGGCAAAAATAAATGAATGGGACTAAAACCAAAAAGCTCTGCCCAGCAGAAGGAACTGACAACAAAACAAAGAGGCAGCCAAGCAGATGGGAGATGATATTTGCAAACAGTGGCTCCGACAAAGGTCTAATTTCCAAAATATATAAAGGCCTTGTAAAACTCAACACCAGATAAATAAAAAACCCAATCAAAGGGTAGGCAGAGGATCTGAAAACTCTCCTCTCTCAATAAGATGTATGAAGAGCCAATAGATATATTGAAAATATGTTCAACCTCACTGGCAATCAGGGAAGTGCAAATCAACATTACAGTGAAACACCACCTCACACCTGTTAGAGTGACCCTGTCAACAAGACAAGCCAGACAAGTGTTGGAGGAGATGTGGGGAGAAAGGGAACCCTTATCCACTGCTGGTGGGAATGTAGATGATACAACCACTACGGAAAGCAGTCTGGCAATTCCTCAAACAATTTACAATAGAGCTTCTATACGAACCAACAATCCCTCTCCTGGGTATATACCCCAACACCACAAAAACATATATTCACAAAGATACATGCACCCCAATATTCACTGAAGCTTTATTTATGGTGGCCAAGACATGGAAACAGCAAAAACCGGTTTGGCTCAGTGGTAGAGCACCGGTCTGCGGACTGAAAGGTCCCAGGTTCAATTCTGGTCAAGGGCATGTACCTGGGTTGCAGGCACATACCCGGGGGGGGGGGTGTGCAAGAGGCAGCTGGTCGATGTTTCTCTCTCATCTACGTTTCTAGCTCTCTATCTCTCTCCCTTCCTCTCTGTAAAAAATCAATAAAATACATTAAAAAAAAAAAAAAAAGACATGGAAACAACCAAAGTGCTCTGCAATGAGGGCTGGATAAAGAAGCTGAGACACATACAAACAATAGAATACTACTCAGCTGTAAGAAAGGTCCACCCAGCAACATGGGTGGACCTTGAAAACATTAGCTAAGTGAAAGAAGTCAGCCAGCAAAGGCTAAGAACCATATGAGTTCACTCCTATGTGGGATATAAAACTGAAACTCATGGACACACACAGCAGAGTGGTGGTTGCCAGAGGGAAGAGGGTGGGGGGAAAAGGGAGGCCTAATATATGGTGACAGGAGAAGATGTGACTTTGGATGGTGGGCACACGGTGCAATATACAGACCTTGTAACATAAAAACCCACACCTAACACCTGTATGGTCATGCCGATCAATGCTAACCCAATAAATCCTATATAATAAAACCGTAATTGCAAATCAACTGAACAGCGGAACAACCAGTCACTATGATGTACAGTGACCACCAGGGGGCAGACGCTCAATGCAGGGGCTGCTCCCTGGTGATCAGTGCACTCCTACAGGGGGAGTGCTGTTCAGCCAGAAGCCAGGCTCACGGCTGGTGAGCGCAGTGGCGGTGGTGGGACCCTCTCCCGCCTCCACTGCAGGCAGGCAGTAAGGAACGAGGGGTCCCGGACTGCGAGAGGACACAGGCTGGGCTGAGGGACCCCTCCCCACCTCAGTGCATAATTTTTGTGCACCGGGCCTCTAGTTTAATAAAATAAATAAATAAAGGGAAACAAGATTTTAAGTAAGTAAATAAATAAGACTGCTGATAGCTCTGCTACCCTCTGGTACCTACAATTTGTTATGGGAATAAAAAGCCAAACCTTGCTCCCCTTCCCCCATATCTAAAGCTAACCTGCTCACCGTGGTTCTGGCTCTATGGTCTCTGAGAACTTCCCCTCCCAGCAACACAGCTACTCCGGGGCATTAGGCTGGGACACTGTGAGCTTGAATTATGTGCCATCTTCAGAAGCAAGAATGGCTCCAGGTTGATGGACATCCCTGATGCCCCTTGGGTGCCCTTGGCTAGGCGCAGGCCCTTCCCTCAGCTTGCCTTGGTGGCTCTCTAGGGGACCAGTCTGACGGAGATCATCACCTCCCTGGGCCCCGCACCAACGGGTGTGGGGAGAGTGTGGGAGGGGGACTCTCCACGAGGAGGTGTATCAGGCAAGGTAGTGGGAGGTGTGGGTACGTCCTGGGAAGACAGACGTTTTCCTGGTGGAACCCAAGGGCCCCAGGTCCCCCTGCAGCAGCCCCCAGCGCCTTGTCCACACTCTGCCCTCCCTGATGCTCCTGGGCCGCCAGCATGACGGCGCCGCTCTTGCAGGTGGTGAGGAGCTACAAGGCGACCATCCAGCAGACCCTGGACATCCTCTTCCTCCGCGAGGGCTCGGAGTTCCTGAGCAGCACGGATGCTTCGAGCCGGGACTCTGCTGACCGTACCATCATCGCCTGGGATTTCCGGAGCTCTGCCAAAATCTCCAACCAGATTTTCCACGTGAGAAGCCCTATTTGGCATTGCTTTCTGTCTCCGCTCTGTTTGGCCTTAGGTCCCAGGCCACTTCCTGTGGGGCACGGTTCAGGAGGCAGAGTCTCTGCAGACAGACTGGCTGCCTGGGATTCCTAGGGCAGGGGAAGGCGGCTGTAAGTTCACAGGCTCCGTTTTACATCATAACTGTATCTCCCTAACTGTCCTCCCACTCGGCCCCACCCTGCACCGCCACCCCACAGGGTAAGGGGGTGGAGAGGCAGCCAGTACAGAGGGACCGATAGGCGACTGAGCAGCTCGAGACACCCCTACCCTTTCTCTGCCGCCCAGCCAGCCCATGGGACTCTGCCCTCCTTTGCTGGGGTGGTGTTGGCAGGAGTTGTGACTCAGGAGTTAGACCACCTGAATTATGGTCCTGGACTCAACACTTACAAACTGGGGGCGCTGGGCCCATTACTTAGCCTTTTTGATTTTTATTGTCTTCTCAGAAAAATTGAGGGTGAGAATATTACTTGCCTCATAGAGTGGTTTTGAGAATTTAAAGAACACTTATTAAGGGTCTAGAATGGTGCCAGGTACAGGGATTGCTTCATAAATGCATTACTTATATTATCACCATCATTACCATCATCACCACCACCACCACCCCCGCCACCACCACCACCACCGTCATCGCCACCGCCACCATCATCATCACCACCACCACCACCACCATCACCATCACCATCACCATCATCATCATCATCATCACCATCACCACCACCACCACCATCACCACCACCACCATCACCACCACCAACACCATCATCACCACCACCACCATCATCACCACCACCACCATCATCACCACCACCACCACCATCACCACCACCAACACCATCATCACCACCACCACCATCACCACCACCAACACCATCATCGCCACCGCCACCATCATCACCACCACCACCACCATCATCACCACCACCACCACCATCACAATCACCATCATCATCATCACCATCATCGCCACCGCCACCATCACCACCACCACCACCATCACCATCACCATCATCATCATCATCACCATCACCACCACCACCATCACCACCATCACCACCTTCATCACCATTGCCACCACCACTATCATTACTAATCACCATTATGACTGTGATTACCACCACCATCATCATAACTATCACCATCATCGCCATACCATCATCACCATAATCATTGCTATCGCTATCATCATAACTATCACCATTGTTACCAGCATCATCACCATATCATTATCATCAACATATCATCATCACCACCACCACCACCACATGATCTTCATCATTTTAACTGTCACTACCACCACCACCACTGTAATCATCACTACCATCATCACCACAAGCACCGTTTAAGATTTCAAACAAGCCATGGCTGATCTCTTTGGTGCTCCGATCCTGAATTTAAAAATACGTGTCAGGTGTACATGCACACCTGCTCCATCTTCTTGCTTTCCCCTTGTTTTCCGATGGTTCTGCGTGACCCTGAGCAAACCTGCCTCTAGATCTCACTTTAGGGTCCAGTGTAACCTCCTAGGAAAAGCAGGGGGATGGGGGACACCTGACCACCGGGGTTTCCTGCCTCCATCAGCCCCGGGGAGAGCAGGGGAAGGAGTGAGGGCGGAGTGCTGCTGGCCTGAGCTGTCCCAGACGCACACCTCCTTGCCGGCAGCATCACCGGGCAGCTCAGCATGGGGCCGCCCTGGCATCCATGCCTCTAGGCTGCTCCTGCTTTGCCTCTGAACTTGGGCAACTCTTAAAATGTGAGTGGACAGGCGCCGCTGAGAAGGGAGCCCCCAAGGGTGCTTCTGTGGGACTGAGCCTCTCAAACAGTGAGCTAGCTCTCCCTGAGGGTTTGAACACTTCTCATTTATCTTCTCGCTTGATCACTCACCTCTTCACTGACAGTGCATTTGGACCGAGTGGGACCCTGCGCTGGGTTACCCCAGAGCCCCCTGTGGAATGGGGGTGGGGGGGATGGGCACGCACATTCGTTCTCCCCGTGGAGCGTGTTACCACAGATTGGAGGCTCACGCCATCAGCGGTGTGTTCCCACCCCTTTCTGAGGATGGCAGTTAGACTCCGTAACACTGGGATGACATGGGGTGTTGGCAGGGCAGATCTGTCCCTTGCTGCCTCATGACTGGTGGCTGTTGGTGATACTGGGCATCCCTCCGAGCTGTGCACCAGCATCCTCAGATCGCTCTCTGATCCATGCTCACATCACCCGTGTGCGTCTCACCTCCCGTGCCTCCCTCGGAGGGCTAACGTGGCTGAATGTAGGCAATAACAGGGTAACTCCCCACATCGAGATGCTTAACTCAGTTACTTCTGCAAAGACACGCAAGGCGTCATTCACGGGCCCTAGGAATTAGGATGTGAATATATTTTGGGGGCCCTTTAAGATCCACCACAAGGGCCGTGGGCCAAGGAGGGCAAGTGGCTCCTGGAAGCTGGAAGCGCAGAAAGTACGTCCCCCTGGAGCCTCCGGAGCCAGCACAGCTCTGCTGACACTATGATTAGCCCAGCGAGGACCTGCTCAGACTTCTGACCTCCAGATCTGCAGGGTCCGAAGTTTGTGTGGTTCAAGCCACTGAGTTTGAGGCAGTTGTTACAGCAGCAGCAGGAAACTCACACTGACCTGTGAGCAGAGAGCAGGGCAGCGTGTCTGCAGAGGCGGCAGGCACAGCCCGAGCATCCTTGACCCTCTGTGTGGCCCCGTTTCTCAGGAGAGGTACACCTGCCCCAGCCTGGCCTTGCACCCGCGGGAGCCCGTGTTCCTGGCCCAGACCAATGGCAACTACCTGGCCCTCTTCTCCGCCGTGTGGCCCTACCGGATGAGCAGAAGGCGGCGCTACGAAGGGCACAAGGTACCGCTTACCTACCCCCTCCCCCCAACCCCAGTCTACCCCTTCCCCCACCCCCACCCCCAACTCCACCCTCAGAAGGCTGAGCACTGGCCACGCGATGCCAGCCATCAGCAATGGACTTGGGTCAGAGTGCACAGACCTCTGTCCAGCAGATGCTGTGTGGCCTGGTGTCTACGCCAGGCTGGGCGTATCGCTCTGCCCCGGCCCTGGCTGCAGGGGGAAAGGTTTCCTCTGACTCCCTCTCACGTGGGCCTGTCTCAGAGGTTAGGGATGGGGCGGGACAGAGTCTCTAGCCCCGCCCCCTTTCACCACTGAGACCTGCCTCCTGTGGGGGCGGGGCCGGGGCTGGGTGATGTCAGCAGTGCCAGCCCTCCTGGGCACCACTGAGGTAACCTGCACACGGTCACCCCAGAACCGTCTGCGGGGAGCTCGGGCTCTGCTGCTCTGTAGTGGGTGGATGACTGCCATTGCGCACCCGTGTCGCCCTTGCAGGTGGAAGGCTACGCGGTGGGCTGCGAGTGCTCCCCCGACGGAGACCTGCTGGTGACGGGCAGCGCGGACGGCCGGGTCCTGCTCTACTGCTTCCGCACGGCCAGCCGGGCACGCACGCTACACGGGCACGCGCAGGCCTGCGTGGGCACCACCTTCCACCCTGTGCTGCCTTCCGTCCTCGCCACCTGCTCCTGGGAGGGTGACATCAAGATCTGGCACTGAGCCTTTCAGCGCTGCGCCCCTGGACAGACATGGTCGCCCCCGGCTCCCCGGGGGTGGGTGGGACTACATACCGAGGCTGGCGCTCCACCCGGGGTCCTCGGCGCCTCTGAAATGGGCCAGGAGCCTTCTGTCTCGGCCGTGAGGCTGGGAAGTGAGCGCCTGGCACACTGCTCGTGCCGCTCAGTAAACACCGCGTCTCGCTGTTTTGTAGGTGACTTCAGCGGTAAATGTGTGTTGGCAGTTCCTCTCGCCGCCCCACTCGCGCCCGCTGGAGCTTGAAATGAGATTGCTGGGATCTGGAGAGGGCGCAGCCCCGCTCTGCTGGTCTCGACGAGGGGTCCGGGGAAAGGGGGCCCTGGACCCCAAATTTGTCCTCGGCAGAGCATGGCAGCCCACCCGTCCCTCAGGGCCTAGCCTGGCCCGGTCTGCCCCTCCCTCCCCCACAGAGCACGCCAGCTGGTCCCTCGGCCTGCCCCCGCCCTGTCAGGTGTGCACGCTGCCCACGCCTGTGCCCCTGCCGGGTGACGGAGTGATGTGGAGAAGGCAGGGCCCTTGAGGAACTTCGGGATTGTTACTGAGGGGCTGCCCGCGAGGCCAAGGGTCCACCGAAGGGTCAGGGGCCTGCAGGTGCCATGGCTCAGGGCAGTGGGGTCCTTGGAAGGCTTCCTGGAGGAGGCAGGTGGAGAGCTGGTGAGGAGGGCATATCCCCAGCAGGGGAGTCAGTGAGGAAACACCGAGGGCCTAAGGAGAAGGCCATGGGCGGGTGGGGGAGCTGCAGGAATCGTGGGTAACAGCCTCTCTCCCTGAGCCCGGCTCCGGGCCTAGTCTGCCGTCAGGAACTGTCCTCCAGCTCGTTTCTTTTTCAGGCTGGTCCCCTTGGGGGTCCGCATGGGCGGGAGACCCCGGGGCTCCCAGGAGCCACAGTGCTCTTCTCAGCGCTGCTTGTGGGCTTGACCAACTCTGCCCCAGCCCAGCTGTCTGCTGGGGGAGCCCCTCCCTCCCCTTGGGTGGGTGACTTACTGGGAAGAATGGCAGGTGGACTCTGTGCCTCTCTCTGTTTCCTTCTCTGAACGCTTTCTTCCGAAGAGCATTCTAGAGGCTCACTCTGGCCCTCTGCCAGGTGGCAGGGGTTCGCCATTCACAGTGCGAAGTGAGAAGCTAACGGGAAAGTGTGGGGCAGGGACGAAGAACGTGGGCTGGGCCTGCCTCGCCTTCCTGGGCTGCCTGCTCGCCTTGACTCGCTCAGACGTCTGCACGGCTGGCCTGCGGCTGTCGTGGGGAAGAACCCTCATCTGGAGGTGCCGGCGTGGCTCTGAGTGCTGAGGGCCCGGCCGTGGCTCTGAGTGCTGTGGGCCCGGCCGTGGCTCTGAGTGCTGGAGCCCGGCCGTGGCTCTGAGTGCTGAGGGCCCGGCCGTGGCTCTGAGTGCTGTGGGCCCGGCCGTGGCTCTGAGTGCTGGAGCCTGGCCGTGGCTCTGAGTGCTGTGGCCCGGCCGTGGCTCTGAGTGCTGGAGCCCGGCCGTGGCTCTTGAGTGCTGGAGCCCGGCCGTGGCTCTGAGTGCTGAGGGCCCGGCCGTGGCTCTGAGTGCTGTGGCCCGGCCGTGGCTCTGAGTGCTGGAGCCCGGCTGTGGCTCTGAGTGCTGAGGGCCCGGCCGTGGCTCTGAGTGCTGTGGCCCGGCCGTGGCTCTGAGTGCTGAGGGCCCGGCCGTGGCTCTGAGTGCTGTGGGCCCGGCCGTGGCTCTGAGTGCTGGAGCCTGGCCGTGGCTCTGAGTGCTGTGGCCCGGCCGTGGCTCTGAGTGCTGGAGCCCGGCCGTGGCTCTTGAGTGCTGGAGCCCGGCCGTGGCTCTGAGTGCTGAGGGCCCGGCCGTGGCTCTGAGTGCTGTGGCCCGGCCGTGGCTCTGAGTGCTGGAGCCCGGCTGTGGCTCTGAGTGCTGAGGGCCCGGCCGTGGCTCTGAGTGCTGTGGCCCGGCCGTGGCTCTGAGTGCTGAGGGCCCGGCCGTGGCTCTGAGTGCTGTGGGCCCGGCCGTGGCTCTGAGTGCTGGAGCCCGGCCGTGGCTCTGAGTGCTGTGGGCCCGGCCGTGGCTCTGAGTGCTGAGGGCCCGGCCGTGGCTCTGAGTGCTGAGGGCCCGGCCGTGGCTCTGAGTGCTGGAGCCTGGCCGTGGCTCTGAGTGCTGAGGGCCCGGCCGTGGCTCTAAGTGCTGAGGGCCCGGCCGTGGCTCTGAGTGCTGCGGGCCCAGCCGTGGCCATGGCCCATGGAGCTCATGCTCGCAGGTCCTGTAAGATGGCCATGATCACTCTGTCCACTTGAGGAAACCAGGGCCATCTGACTCCAGAGCCTGTGCCTTTCCCCTCCCTCAGATCCCCTGTCCCAGCTGGGCCTCCGCATGGGACCGTCACCCGTGTAGGGGCCCTTGGGAAGCTCGCCAGTCCCTGTCCTAGGCTCCAGAGGGGGAACTGGACCAGAGGGATCTGAGACTTGCCCAGACAGAGTCACATGGCCAGCTGGTGGCACAGCCCGCTCTGCACTCCCTGTGGGATTGAGGAGGAACATACGTGGCAGGTGGGTAGATGGTGGGTACACAGACAGGGTTTCTCTGGTGCGGCAGGATTCCGGGTGCAGGGAGAAGGGGGATGGTAGAAGAGGGCACCCCACACCAGGACAGCTGCCTTTGGAGGGCACCGATGGGAGCCTCAGGCTCTGAGACGATGTGGGGCCAGAACCCTGAATCTTAGAGGGGCTCCGGGCCAAGGCTTGTAGCCCTCAGGGTTCTCGGCCTTGCTGTTGTGTCATGGCTGACACGGGGTGGGGGCTGGTGAGGCTCGGGCTCCCCCTGGGAAAGCACCTGAGAGAGAACCTGCGGGTGCCGAGCTGCTCTCTTCTCCCCCACCTTTCCAGTTGCCCCCCTCCTCCCAGTCCATTGAGGGTTGCTTCCTCCGTCTGCCCATGGAAAAACGGCCCCCGCACCTCTCCACAGCCCCTCTGACTCTGCGAGGCTGCTTCCTGGGGGAGGGAAGTTGGGGTCCCCTGGCCTCCTCTGCAGAGGTGGGTCAAGGGCAGAGATGCTAGAAGCCACCACCAAAGCCCCTCCCGCTTGGGGTTGCCTGGCAAGAGACAAACCCACCCTGGACAGATGAAGCTGGGCAAGCCAGGGAGCCTGAAGGCCTGCCCTGGGCCAGGTAGTCTCCATGGGAAGTGGCTGCCCTGGAAGGAGGGAACATGAAGCCCCTGGGAGGGCCCCTATGCCAGGTCGCGAAGAACCTATAAGAGCATCGTCAGGGCGATAACCAGGCCTCCGGAGGAACGAAGCAGCTTGGGCAGGGACCAAGGGAAACAGATCCCCACAGACCCCACAGGATAGACGTGCCAGGCAGTCGGTGATCCCCTGTGCCCACTGTGTTTGGGGACTGTCTCCAGGGAGTAGGAAACTTAGAGAGTCGCATCGAGGGTTTGCCAAACCACCAGATAGAGCGGGCAGGAGTGGAAAACACTCGTAGCTAAAGCAAAAAGCTCCGTGACTGTGTGTGGTGGCTGAGCACAAGAGGAGAGGGTTAGTGAAGACCGTGCATACAGAGCATGTGGGCCAGCGAAGGGGGGCAGACGGAGGGTGCAGTGAGGAGGAGGGGAGCGAGAGGGGGCAGGGAAATACTGGCCTACCTTATAAAAGAGTGATGTGCAAATTGACCGTCACTCCAACACACAGGATGGCCGCCCCCATGTGATCAAAGATGGCTACCCCCATGTGGACACAAGATGGCCACCACAAGATGGCCTGCAGGGGAGGGCAGTTAAGGGTGACCGGGCTGGCAGAGGAGGGCAGTTGGGGTGACCAGGAAGGCAGGGGAGGCAGCTGGCGGGGACCAGACCTATAGGGAAGGGCAGTTGGGGGCAACCAGGCCTGAAGGGGAGGACAGTTAGGAGTGACTGGGCTTGTAGGGGAGGGCAGTTGGGGGCAATTGGGCCAGCAGTAGAGCAGTTAGGCATTAATCAGGCTGGCAGGGGAGTGGTTAGGAGGTGATCAGGCTATTGGGCAGAAGTGGTTAGGGGCAACCAGGCAGGCAGACACGCGAGCGGTTGGGAGCCAGCAGTCCTGGGTTGTGAGAGGGATGTCCCACTGCCTATTTAGGCTGGAATCAGGCCTAAAGGGGCCGTCGGACATCCTGCAAGGGATCCCAAATTGGAGAGAGTACAGGCTGGGCTAGGGGATACCCTTCCCTCCCTCCCTGGGCCTCTAGTCTAAAATCATAATTGAGAATATTCCAGAACTAATGAAAGGTACCAACTTGCAGACACAAGACTGTGAATTCCCAAGAAGGACAAGTCCACAAGCAGACGCACCTCAGGGCAACTGCAGAAAGCCCAAGTCCAAGGGCAGACCTAGGCAGATTACACCCCCCCCCCCCCCCCCCCCCGCCCAGAGGAACAGCCCTGGGGGGGAAGGACAGTGCATGGGACCCCGGGTGCAGGGGGAGTGGCCACCGCTCCCCAGTGAGAGCCCCCTCTAGGATGTCCGCTGAGAAAGGAAAACGGGGCCTGGGTCACGGAGCCCCAGCAAAGGGAATGCAGAGCAACGTCTAACACGCAGGAAAGGATGGGGCGTGACCGTGGGAACACTGGCCGCCAGGGCAGTGGTCACGTCTAGCGGGTTGGGCAGTGGAGGAATCCAGACTTCCAACAAAGACACCGGTGGCCAGGAGAGCTCTCAGGAACCAGTCCTGGCTGGAGGGGGTGAAGGACGGTGGGGCGGTCCAGGGGAGAGGGGATCCCCTGAGGGCCACAGGTCCCAGAGGGCAAAAGGCAATGGGGAGAAGAAACTGTCCAAACCCGAATGCTTTCCACCAAGAATCTTTATTGTAATAGTTAGTGTAAATACAGTAGTAGTTGACAGCATGCATCACAGACAGGAGAGCAGGGACGGGGTGGGGAGATGAGAGGCTCTTCACGGCTGAGGTAGAGCCAGGTGGTGCGGGCAGCGGGACACGGGGACGAGCACCGGGAACTGGGAGGTGAGCACCGGCCCAACTCGGGACGACGGCCACGGGAGAGCTGGGGTGCGGGGTCAGCCACGCTCGGAAACGTTCACAGCATCTCACGTCCCTTCACCCGCTGGGTTCCTCTCCTTGTGGGCAGAGCTCCAGGTTTCCTCGCCGCTGGCGTTCGCGGTGTCAACACTGTCCTTCCCTCCAAGGGCCAGGCCCCACAAGTCCTCGCCGGAAAATAAAGGAGCTGTGTGTTGGAAACGCAAGGCTGCCATCCAGGGAGCTGGAGGCCCCGTGCGTTGAGAAAGACCCTTTTTCTCTAGAAAAAGTTTCAGTTTATAAAAGGGAGGAATGCTCAGCTCGGGTGGGGAAAGATGTTGGCGTGAGAAACATCCTCGGGAGTTCCATCGTGGTGGCGCTGGGGGTCACACATCACAGGGGTCCTCTTGTCAGGCTGCACTGGGTGACTACGTGGGAGAGGGGTCTCTGAGGCAGAGGGTCCACTATGTGGAGAGGGGTCACTACAGGCTGAGGGTCCACTATGTGGAGAGGGGTCTCTATGAGGCAGAGGGTCCACTATGTGGAGAGGGGTCTCTATGAGGCAGAGGGTCCACTATGTGGAGAGGGGTCTCTATGAGGCAGAGGGTCCACTATGTGGAGAGGGGTCTCTATGAGGCAGAGGGTCCACTATGTGGAGAGGGGTCAGAGGGTCCACTATGTGGAGAGGGGTCACTACAGGCTGAGGGTCCACTATGTGGAGAGGGGTCACTACAGGCTGAGGGTCCACTATGTGGAGAGGGGTCTCTACGAGGCAGAGGGTCCACTATGTGGAAGAGGGGTCACTACGAGGCAGAGGGTCCACTATGTGGAGAGGGGTCTCTACAGGCTGAGGGTCCACTATGTGGAGAGGGGTCTCTACGTGGGAGAGGGGTCACTGAGCACAGGGGTCATTACAAGGTAGGGAGGTCACTGAGGCACAGGGGTCACGAGACAAAGAGGGGTCGGACATCCCACATACTGAGGCAGAGAAAAGTCATCCCACATTCGTGGGCGAGAAGTCACCCCACATTCGTGGGCGAGAAGCCACCCCACATACATGGGTGAGAAGCCACCCCACATACATGGGCGAGAAGCCACCCCACATACATGGGCGAGAAGCCATCCCACATACATGGGCGAGAAGTCATCCCACATACATGGGCGAGAAGCCACCCCACATACATGGGCGAGAAGCCACCCCACATTCGTGGGCGAGCAGTCACCCTACATACATGGGCGAGAAGTCATCCCACATACATGGGCGAGAAGTCATCCCACATACATGGGCGAGAAGCCACCCCACATACATGGGCGAGAAGTCACCCCACATACATGGGCGAGAAGCCACCCCACATACATGGGCGAGAAGTCATCCCACATACATGGGCGAGAAGTCATCCCACATACATGGGCGAGAAGCCACCCCACATACATGGGCGAGAAGCCATCCCGCATACATGGGCGAGAAGTGATCCCGCATACATGGGCGAGAAGTGATCCCGCATACATGGGCGAGAAGTGATCCCGCATACATGGGCGAGAAGCCACCCCACATACATGGGCGAGAAGCCACCCCACATGCATGGGCGAGCAGTCACCCCACATGCATGGGCGAGAAGTCATTGTTCATTGTGGACAGGGCTCAAGAGAGAAGAGACTGGAGACGGGTGGGGCAGCGTCCTGGGGCGCACAGTGGGCGGCGGGAGCCCGCCCGGGCCTGGGCCTCGGCCTGCGGGCAGCGTCTAGTTGAGCAGGGTGCCGTAGAGCTGGGCCTTGGTAAGGCTGTCCTTGCGGCTGAGGCCGCCGGCGCTCCGGCTCCGGGGGAGGGCTGCCTGGGGGTTCCGGCGGGCCGTGCGATGCATTTCAGGGGAACCCTCCATGGAGCTGGGCTCGAAGGACTCTCTGGAGCCAAAGAGGCTGTCGGGCTCGGGGCTGGCCACCCCGCTCAGCTGGCCCAGGGGCCTCTCCCTCTCTCCCTCGTCTTCGCTGGCTACGTAGCCGGGCATCGGCTTGGCAGAGCCGTGAGCCCCGAGGAAGCAGGACTCGGCCTGGTGGCCGTGGGAGAAGCTGTCCTCCCCGAGGTTGTTGGCCTTGTAGTTGGCGTACAGGGGGCCGGAGCGGCGAGGTGGCAGGTTGGCCGAGGTGCCTCTCGAATAGTAGCGCTGAGAGGAGCTGCGGGCCGCGGGCCGCTTCGAGGGGGCCGGGAAGGCGTGGGCCCCGAGATCCTCCATGTGCACGGGGCGCCACTGGTCGCGCCGGCTGCGCGCCTCTCCCTTGGGCAGCCGGGACGCCGGAGACTTGGCTCGCTGGCCCCACAGGTGTGAAGACGCCGAGGTCTTGGGGACGGCCTGCTGGCTGAAGGGCTCGGCCTGGTAGCTCGGGAAGGTCGTCTCGAGCTCATACTCGGGGGGCACCGGGGTTTGCAGCAGGGCCGTGGAGGCCTTGGCATAGGGCCGGCTGCTCTGGTAGGTGGGGGGCTGCGGGCGCTGGAAGAGCTGGTCGCAGCCTCCCAGGTAGGCGGCCCGCTGCGAGGCGGTCAGCGTGCTGGCCTCGCCGCGCTCCCTCTCCTCCGAGGTGATGCTGAAGCTTGAGTAGGAGCTGGATGTGGGCAGTGAGGTGGTGAAGCCAGGGAAGGATTCACCCCGGTAGGCCTCATCCTGGTAGGCCTTGCCCCGGTAGGCCTCATCCTGGTAGGACTTGCCCCGGTAGGCCTCATCCTGGTAGGCCTTGCCCCGGTAGGCCTCATCCTGGTAGGATTTGCCCCGGTAGGCCTCATCCTGATAGGACTTGCCCCGGTAGGCCTCATCCTGGTAGGATTTGCCCTGGTAGGCCTCATCCTGGTAGGATTCACCCCGGTAGGCCTCGTCCTGGTAGGACTTGCCCCGGTAGGCCTCATCTTGGTAAGATTTGCCCCGGTAGGCCTCAGCCTGGTAAGATTTGCCCCGGTAGGCCTCATCCTGGTAGGATTTGCCCCGGTAGGCCTCGCCCCGGTAGGCCTCACCCTGGTAGGCCTCGGCCTGGTAGGCCTGGCGCCGGTATTCCTCTGGGTAGGCCTCTCGGTAGGCCTCGGGATAGGCAGCCGCGGCCCCGGCCTCCTCCTCCCCGGCGGCGCTGTCGGTGGAATTCTGGGTCTGCAGGAAGCTCATGCTGCTCGCCACGGCATCCACGCTGGGCCGTCGGTCACGCTCACGCCGGGACTCCTCCAGGCAGAAGAGGGCAGAGTCGCTGCAGTAGGTATCCTCCTTGTAGGGGGGCAGAAGGCTCGACTTGGGCATCCCCTCACGGAAGGCCAGGTCTCGGGTGGAGGCCTCAGACACCGAGACCGACAGGGACATGGGGGAGGACACGCTGCTGGGCTCGGGCTTCTCCAGCACCTTGGCAATCACGCAGAGCGGCACGCTGCCGGAGCGGTACTGCGAGGTGGGCAGGCTGCAGCCATGCTTCTCCAAGTGGAGGCTCAAGCGCTCCTGAAACTCCACGGGCAGCTGGAACGGGGAGGGGGCGGGCAAGGGGCCCGTCAGCCTAGGACCCACACTCAGGCAGGGACCGGCCCTGGGCCTCACGTGGCACCAGCGGGAGCCGGGGCCCGGGACGCTCCTGCATTCGCCCGAGTACCCCTGGGCACCTCCACCCCTGGGCACCTCGGCCCCCAGCCGGCTGGAACCAGGGTCTCGGGGTCTCACCGGGCCCCTCTCGGGTCACAGTTCCCTCCCCCACATTTCCTCCCACCAAGGGGCTGACTTGTTCTCCCTGCTGCGTGCAGCACTGCTGCTCAAGACAGACTCAGAAACGCATGCAACCAAGATGGAGGGCCAGGCGCTCAGCGGGGGTGGCACAAGCGCCTGGTGCCTGTGGGCACCTCCCGCTACTGTTTGATCTGGGTTTTTTTTGAGTCTCCGGCGTGGCCCAGGCCCGGGGAGAGGGGACAAGGACAGAGGCCTGGGTGAAGGGGAGGGGCAGCCCGGCCAGGGTGGGCGGGCCCTGCACCAGCCTGACTCTGGCATCAGAGAACCCTGTGGCCTTGGCTGAGTCACTTCCATGTGCAGCCGGGTCTCTCATCTCTGAAACTGCCAGTAATTGTGCCCATACCAAACCGCAGGGTTCCTGCCAGGCTCACAGAGGATCGCTCAGTGGCTAGGGGCTTGGAACGGGCAAGGGCACCGAGGGGGATGCGCAGGCTGGTGAGGAGGTGCGCTGAGGGTGGCCCCGGCGGGCCCCTGGCTGGGTGGGGCTCACGTTACCTCAGACACCTTTTGGACCCTGTCGAAGGTCTCCCGGCATTGCAGCAGCTGGGCTGCGAGGTTGCAGTCCTTCCTATAGAGCTCCTAAAAGACAAAAGAGGTGTCGGCCCAGGCCTGCCCCGCTGCCCTGGCCAGAAAGCGGCGGGCAGAGCCCGGGAGCAGCTCGCAGGACAAGGACCATCCTGGGCCTCTCGCCGTCGCCTGCGGAAAGGGAGCTGCTGGTGCACGGAGGGGTGCTGCCCCAGGTGGGAGCCTCACCAGGCGGGGGCAGCGGGAGAAGGGTCCGCTTGGCCCCAGACCTCCGGGAGGCCCGGCAGAGAACTCGGTGGAGAGGCAGCAACCGCAATGCCAGGCCCACGCCTGCAGCCCTGCCACCCCCCTGACTCCCCGCACGCACACCCTGTTCTCAGAGTGTGGCCTGACGGGGGTGGCTGCAGGGCTGGGCGAGTGGGCTGCAGGGGCTGTGTGACCCCAGGTCCAGGTGGGGACCTGCCTGCTCAGCTTCCTGAGCTGAAAACAGATGCAAACAGTAGGAATCACGGAGTTTGGTTTGTCTTCGGAAAATCTCCGTTGCATGGGCCTGTGGCTGGGCCTTTTATTCCCACCCCAGCCCAGGCACCGTCCACGGTGAGGGCCTGGCCACTGAGGAGTCTGGGGTCCGCTGACGGGCCCATCTTCATCGGCACTGGGTGCCCGCAGCTCAGGCAAGCTGTTGAAGGCAGGGTCGCCATGGCTGCTCTCCCCCACCCCCACCTGGTGCCCCAACGCGGCTGCACAGTGGAGGGCACCTGGGTCTCCAGCCTTCTTGCTTGGGCCTCCTGGGAAGGGCACAGCTGACTGAGAACTGAGAACTGGCCCCACTGTGAAGCCCGGACAGGCTGTCCCTGGCATCAGAGGGCTGTGGGCACCGCCTGGCCTGCCCGTTGAGTCGGTTGCAGACCTGAGAAGCACCCTGTGCTGGGCCTGCCCTCTCCTCATCGGATGCTCTCCTGGGGTACCTCGGCCCATCTGCGGTGCCAGCGCCACAGGATGCTGACCTCCGCCCCAAAGGCTGACGCTTCACAGCGCTGCCGCTGGATGCGACTGCGGAAGCCTGCCCCTGCTCCCCTCCAGCTGCTCCCTCCCTCCCCAGGTGCCCCCAACAGGAAATGACAGGACCCATCTCCTGTCACAGCGCATCCGAGATCTCCATCTCCGTCAGTCCTGCTGCTGCTATCCATCTTCAAAGAGCACCAGCCCTGAGCCCTTCTGCCTGCCTCCGGGCTGCCTCCGCGGATTTCGCCTGGATTGTTACCACAGCCCCTCCCCGCCCTGCGCCTCGCTCTCCCTGTTCCCACCCTCATCCCTACAGCGTGTTCTCAGCGGGGCGGCCGTGTGAGCCCAGTAAACGTGGGACAACCACTCAGGTTATTCCTCTGCTCAAGAACCTCCAGAATAAAACCCAGGTCCCTATCGGAGCCTCTAGGATGTGGCCTCCCATTATCTTCCTGACCTCGGACCCCCACTCTGGTCTCCGACCTTCTTTCAATCAGCCACCCGCGAGCTTCCTCGCCCCCTTCCGGTCTGGGCAGCAGCCTCTTCCAGAAGCATCCTACTGAAATTGGCTCACCCTGCAACTGGCAACTCCCCAGCCCCTGCCCCTGCTTGATTTTTTCAGCAGCTTTTAGCACTCCTTACACACTACAGAGTTTCTCTTGTTTGCCGTCTGTCTGCCCCACGCAGATGTAAACTCACGTGGGCAGGGGATTTTTTTGCCTGTGTGTTCACGCAACATCCTCAGCTCAGGAGGTTCTGGCGGGGAGCGGACACTAATTAGTGGATGCATGGTCAGCGGCCAGGGATCCATGGAGGCCGGCCAGGCCCATCTCTTGAGGAAATCCCATGGGTGGGCATGTGGCCAGAATGCCCATTGAGAACGGCCATGCCCTAACCCTGGAGCCGGGAAGCCCTGACCTGAATGGGAAACTGCCCCAGTGTTCCTGCCTCCTCCCTCGGCAGTGTGTCTGGTGAGGCAGCCCTGTCCTTCCCGGCTCCCGGGCACTCCTGGAGGCCCCGCCCACCTGCCCCTGTGCCCTGCGTCTGCCCCTCAAACCTGAGCCTGCGCCCCGCAGGGCCAGAACAAGCCCACACTCACGTTGTCCTCTAAGAGTTTGTCGATGGTCAACCTGGCGTCCAGGAGGTGGTTGTTGAGAGCGAGAATCTCATGAGACAGAGCTCGTTTCTCTTCGTCATAGTGTTTGCCCTAGGTCAGGACGAGGGCAGTGGAAGGAGGCGGTCAGCCAAGGCCTCTTGTGTGACCAGGTGTTGGGGGGCCCCGGAACGCAGGGGTAAGAGCACAGACCGCCCCAGGTTCAAGGTCTACTCCGCCACCGACAAACCAGAGGGCGGGGGCGAGTCTGCCTCCCTGAGTCTCAGGAGAGCAAGCCGGCCTCCTGGGATCCGGGGTGAGGACTGAGCGAGGATGCCTTGCGCTCAGCACGAAGCCTGACCCATCTCGTCTAACAGACTGAGAAGCCAGGGCTCAGGGAGGAAAGGGCCCTTGTCCAGGGTGCCGGGCAGAGCCAGCCTGCCACGGCCACGGCTCTGACAGCGCCTGGAAGGCAGGCAGGCAGGCAGGCAGGCACTGAGCACCCATTTCTGATTTTTAAAAAACTAAAGAACCTTATAACCAAACTAGACAGAAAGGAAAGTCCTCCCTTTGAGGGGGATTAAGGGCGGACCAGAACCCACCAGCCCCACCAGGGGGCCCACATAGCCTCTAACTCTCCAACCCAGGTCATGCCAGCCCGATCAACAGAGGGAAGGCGGCACTGTCTGTTACTGCAGACAGTGTGTGTGTGTGTGTGTGTGTGTGTGTGTGTGTGTCCCCAGGAGGGTCGTCCCCACTTTTCCCTGCCACAGTCAGAGGGACGGGTCCCCATGCTCCCTCAGGGCCTGAGTTCATGCCTCTGTCCTCCCATCCCTGCATCTCCGGGCCTGTGCTGAGCTGGGGTCACTGTTCTCAGTCATGCCCTCTCCCCCACACCCTGCTACACCCTCCAGGTCAAGCGCTCACATCTGCTCCTGGAGCCCAAGGGTTCCGAACCCCACCCCTCGCTTTCCCGAGAGCGAGCACCCTCCATCCAGTGCACAAAGGGTGGGACAGGCCCAGCCCCGACCAGGCAATAAGGCTCATGACTCAGCTTGGATGACAGCGAGGCTGGCAGGGCCCCGCCAGAGCTGGAGACCCGGGGGAGGGGTTGCCGGGAGCAGTGGCCCTCACCAAGGAGTTCAGCTTTTGCTCTAGCTCTTGGTTGATCCGCTGCAGCGACATGTAGTTCGTCTGAATCCTGGAACAGGACGCAATAGAAGCCGCTTCGGCACCTCGTCTGGCCCTCCCAGTCCCCCCAGGCTGGACAAAGGCCCCCTGAGGCCACCACGGCCCTGCCCCGCCTGACTGCCCCTCCCCGAGCAGCGGAAAACATGCGATTAGAGCTAAGTCATTGGAAGCAAGGGGCCAGGACCCCTGGAGAGAGAGGGACGGCCTGCTATTCAGAGTCTCTGCAGGTCCGCACTCAGAGCCCGCGGGCGCGCATTTCACACCCCTGGAGAGGGGCTTCTGTTCGCGCGTGGGTGCTGGGGAGAGAAGCCCGTGCGGTGGGCGCCGGGTGAGCGCCGGGATATGACACACGGTGACAGGACACGGTCCCCGGGTCCCCCGCAGGAACCTGACTGCGGGGGCCAGTGCTGCGTAGAGATCAGGTGCTCTGTGCCTTCTCCCTCCATCCCTCCCTCCCTCCCTCCCTCTCCGTCTCTCTCTCCTTTCCTCAAAATCAATTTTTTAAAAAAAGCATTAAAATACAAAACCAAAAGAAACGGCCAACAGCAAAGTTTGCATTCTCTTTGCGTGTGTTTTCGGCGCCACAGTCGTGCTGCTGTCAGTGGGAGCGGAGGAGGGAGCGGGGACGGGGACGGGGAGCGGAGACAGACAGGGTGCGGGGATGCGGGGACGGAGACGGGGATGGGGGAGCGGGGACGGGGAGCGGAGACAGATGGGGAGCGGGGATGCGGATGGGGATGGGGAGCCGGGAAGGAGCCTGTCCCTGGCGGTGGCCAGGACCCCGGTTCAGATGCTGCTGGCTCGGTAGCCCTCCGGGCCAAGCAGACTTTGGAAAAAAACAAGAGCTTACCCTCGCCGGACCCCGGGCTCCCCGTCTTCCAGAGGCTCCGGGGGCAGCGCTCCGGCGCGCGCCGCCGCCGCCGCCTCCGCCGACCTGCGAGCCCGCCCGGGCCGCCCCGGACCCGCCCTGCCCTGCCCGTCCCGTACCCTGACCTGCGCAGCTTCAAAGTGACCTTCTCGAGCTCCTCCTGCGCGCGCCTCAGCTCCACCTCCAGGTAGCTGCGCGTGGAGCCGAACTCGCTCTCGAGCCTCTGCAGCCGGTTCGTGGTGTAGGTCAGCCGCTTGCGCAGCTCGCTCTTTTGCTCTTGCAGCACGCTGCAACGACACGGCAGCGGCGGCCGCGGCGCTGAGCGGGGGCCCCGGGGGCGCCCCGGCGGCCCTGACCCCCGCGCGCGCACCCCCGCGCCGGCGCCTCCGCCCGCGCCCTCTCTCTCCCCGGCGGGCGGGCGGGCGGCACGGGGGGATCCGGGACCCCGGAGCCGGCCCGGCCCCGGCAGCCCCCGAGCCCCTGGCGGCACCCGCGCCGCTGCCGCCGCCGCCGTCGTGGGAAAAAAGTCGGCGCGGAGGCACCTGTTGGCAGGGGCTGCGGCGGCTCAAAAACCCTGGATCGGAGCGCGCCCGCCGGCACCCACCCGCCCGCCTTCCGATGCCCACCTCCGGGCGGCACGGCTCGCCGGGGTCCCCCCCGCTGCGGCTCCGCGGCGTCCGGCGGGGACCGGGACGCCCAGAGCCGGCAGCGCCTTGCCTAGACCAAGCCTGCCTCCCCCAAACTGGCTGCGTGGCCCCAAACAGGCCGTCTCCGCGGTCTCCGGGCAAGGGAGAGGGTGCGAGGGGGTGCCGTGCCCACCCCGGCGGCCAGCTAGCTGCGCCCGGCACAAGGACACCGGGGAAGGGGGACACTTACCTCCCCCCTCATCCGGAAAGCTTTCTGGGGCCTCAGCTGCTGAGGCGCTACTTTCCCAGAGAAAAGGAGGGCCCCCCCTGCTAAGACCCCAGGAAGCTGGTGCCTGGCGCTCAGGAGACAGACCAGACAGAAATAAACCCTCCACTCAGTTAGGGTCCCATGTCTAACACCCTCTCCCCTTTCCCCCCGTGGTCCCACTTCCGGACATCACCCCTCCACCTATGCACCCTGCCTCTTCCAGACCTGCAATCCCAGCTCCCCGGGCCCCTCACTGCAGCCCTGCCCCATCCTGGGGCCCCAGCGCCCCCCTTCCCCCCCTGTGCCCACCGCAGCCCTCTCCCTGCCTCTCCCGGCCAGCCACCTTTCCTCCCCAGCCCTGGCTGCCTACCTACCCACAAGCATAGCTGGATCTGTACCCACCTGCATGCTGCCTACTCCTGCTGCGGCAACCAACTGCCTCTCCAACGCCTCCCCTCCCGACTTCCCTACTGCATCTCCTACGTCACCCTGTCCTTCCCATCCCACTGCCCAGCGGCGAGTGAGCGAGATAAACACCGCTCCCGCCCCACGGAGTCTGCGGAGTCTGCAGCCTCGGGAGACGCGCTGAAGAGGGAACAGGTTCGCCAACGCCAATGAGGCAAGTGTGGGAAGGAGATGACAGAGCTGTGAGGGGGGCTCTGGGCAGAGCCGGGACCACCCAAGGGGACCCTGGGCCCAGACCTCCTTCCTACTCACGCTCCAGGCAACCAGCTTCACGGAGCCTGCCCTTCTGAGCCTCAGTTTACTCCTGGCCTCTGGACGGCTTCCCAGCTGACCCACCAACCCTCAAATGCTGCTTCCCCCCACCTTCCTGAGCCCCTGACATCCAGACCCCTCCCAGCTGCACCCCGGCCAGTCCTAGACTTGGTAGCACGGCCAGCCCTGGCCTTCCTCCCCCACCGCAGCCCCCCCTGCCTGCCTGCCCCCAGGACCCTGCATCAGAGCAAACGCAGGCCTTGCCTCACACTCATGTGTCATCCCTGACCTTCTCTGCTCTGGGAAGGTCACGGCTGGGTCTCCCACAGTCCCCTGTCAGACCATGGCAGGTCTGGGGACCCCCTCCTGCCCCTCGCCGCTCACAGCCCATCACCCAATCCCGGGGCGAAGCTCCTGGACGCTTTGCATAACGCCCCTCTTGGTCTGGTCCAGAACCGGCCCTCCCTTCCCCCGGCAGGCACGGGAGCTCTGTTTGACCTCCAGCAGGGGGGCACGCCCCCACCCGCGGGGAGCAGGGCTGCCACCGCGGCCCCTGCACCAACCGCCCCGGGCGGCCGTTAGAACCACCGGGAGATGACGCCAGAGGCAGGCCCCCCGAGAGCAAGTGGGGCCTCCAGGCCCGTGGGGGGTGGCTCAGCCCGGGCCTCGGCAGCTCTGCGTCCTCCTGGGAGTTGGCTCTGGGCCCTGGCACCTGAAAACAGACTCTTGGATGCACAGGGAGGGGGAGAAGGTCCAGCCAGGGCCAGGCCCCCCATCAGGGCATCCTTTCTGGTGGGTTCCCCTCGCTTCCCTGAGTCCCGGGGAGTTCCAGCAGGACCTGACCTGACCTGAGGAGGTGTGCAGGGCCGGGGGGGCTGAGGGGGGAGAGGGGGGTGCGCTGGGTGTGTGTGGAGGGGGTGGGGGTGGGTAGGCGCCATGATACGTTCACTGGGCACAGGAAGCACCCCCTCCTGCTTCCACCAGGAGCCCCTTCGGGCCACTCAGAGGTTGGAGACTACGGAGGGCTCTTGAGGGGAGGGGAGGGGGCCTGACTCGGGGGCCCGGGGCCTCACCTCCCACCGTGGGCACTGGGAGGAGCAGTGGGGTGTGCTGGTGCCTGTGCCCTACCCTCTCTGGGCCTCCCCACCTGGTTTTTTGGGGGAGGGGCGGGAGGTGGACGCAGACAAGGCACCGTGTCTGCGGGGAGGGATGCAGCGACTCCAGGGCCCCGGGGGGGACCACAGGCCGTTACCTGTCCCAGATCGAGGGCGAGGACCTGGCCCGTCGGCCCTGCAGCGTGCAGGACTGCCCGAGGCATGAGGGCACCCAGGGGCTGCGCACCCTGTGGGTGAAGAGGACAGAGCTGCTCAGATCGGGGGGGGGGGGGCACGCCGGCTGCCCTGGGCGCACATCACAAGATGGCGCGGCCGACACCTGGTTCGTGCAAGGTGGTGGGGGGCACTGCCACCCTTCCGGCCGGTCTTCAGAGCTCCCTGAGGACCGTGATCCCGCCAGGGGCAGGTCCCCGAGCTCTGGGGTCCCCTCTCACTGCGGGCCCCGCCCCCCACTGCTCAGAGACGGAGGAGGAGGCGGCGAGGAGAATGGAGGAGAGAGCGACCCAGCCCCCACCTCTGCTGGGACAAGGTGAGGCTCATGTGGGTAGATCATGGAGGGTGGCGATGGAAATGGGGTGGGAGGGATGTGTCCTGGAGGCTGTGGGACCTGGCCAGTGTTTGGGGTCCAGGGCAGACCCACTGCACCCTCTCTGGGCCCCCTTCTTACCCCTCTGCCTCTGGCCTGGTGGGTGGGTGGGCGGAGGGCAGGGTGTGTGGAGGTGAGAAGGGGTGCAGATTCTCTTCAGACGGAAGATCTGCTCAGACTCTACTGGCCCCTGGCCCGTCGGCCATCCCCCCTCCCCTCCCCACGGCCCTGGGGGACATGGCCCTTCGGTTGCTCCAGGTTCAGGAGACTGAGGGGCTGCAGGTGACGCTTCATGCTGCCTCGTCTGATCAGGTGGCTGCAGCCCTGCTCCCCGCTTCACACCCCCATCCCCAGCCGTCCCTGTGGCTGCCCGTCTGCTCCCCTCATTCCACGTTCAAGTGCAGCTTTCTGGGTGAGGTCTTCCCTGAGTCCGACATGCAGGAGAGCCCAATAAGCATGTGCTGGATGAATGAAAAGGAGCCCTGGCCCGTGGCTCAGATACCCAAGGTTGCAGGTTCGATCCCGGGTCAGGGAACATGCAGGAAGTAACCAAGGAATGCATAAACAAGTGGGACAGCAAATCGATGGTTCTGTCTCTTCAAAAAAAAAAAAAAAAAAAAAAGCCCCCCCCCCAAACCACAAACAAAACTAAAAAGAAACACATGAGTGAGTGCATTTCACAGATGAGCAAACTGAGGCTCCTGGGGACAGCACCCGGGCCGGCCGCTGGCTGCTGCAGGCAGACTCCCCCCCTTCCCCCCCCCCCCCCCCCCCGCCCCTGCACTCCCTCGCCACCGTTTCCTGCCTCTGGTTGCTGGGGCTCTGAGGCTTGGTTTTGTTTTCCTGGCCAGACCCAAAGAAGCAGTGACGCCCTAGAATAGTCTAGACTGGGGGGGGGGGGGGCTAGAAGGTGGGATTATGCACAGCTGGCCCTGGACCCCTCCCAGGCCGTCCCTGCCCTGCACTCCCGGTGTCCAGGGGCTGTCCGTGGGGTGGGGGGACTGGCCTGCAGGGCCCCCAAATTAGGCTCCCTGCACCCACGTCCCTGCCCCGGAGCCTGGGTGAGAAGGAGCCCATGCTGGCTTCTCTGATGTGACCTCCCCGCCAGCCAGCCGCTCACCGCGGCAAACAGCCCGCGCTCTGTAATTGGATCGGTGGGAGGGCCTGCTTTCAGGAATTCGGGGGATCATAAAGGAAATCAGGACTGCGGGGGGGCTCCTCGGTGACACTGCGGAGTGTGGGGTGGGGGGTCCCACCCCCCTCCCTCCGGGCCCCAGTCTCCCCAGGGTGCCTCGGCCCCCACCCCTCACCCCCCACAGCCACAGGAGACAGTCCTGAGGGTGAAATGAGTCTGGAGGGAAGGACTGGAGGTATAGCGCAGGGTCTTGGCATCAGCCGGGGGCCTGAAGGAGGCTGCCTTTCCGGGCCTCAGTTTCCCCATCTGTAACCTAAGGCCAGAGGGGCACTTGCGACCGTGATGCCTTCCTGGCGAGCTTCCCCTGAGCTCATTCCCCTTCGCCTCCAGAGAGCACTGGTGTCCTCACTGCAGCCTCACCCCGGGCCTGGCGGGGGCTGCACGGTCCAGACATCCAGACAGGATGTGTGGTCTGGAGGGGGGGGGCGGAGGGAGGGAAAGGCTTTATCAAGGGCACCTGGCTAGTGAGCACCGGAGCCGGGACTAGGACCCCCCCCCCCCGAGGGAAAAGCTGTGCCATTTGCCACCGTTCAGTCTCATTCAAACGCATTTACTGCCAAAAAAAAAAAAAAAAAAATCAAATGAACAACAACAAAAAAATACAGAAACAGAACTAATGAAAAAAAGAAAAAAAATTTAAGTAAAAAAAAAAGAAAAAGGCATTGACTGAGCCCCTGGCCCTCCCCCCCCCCCCCCCCCCCCCCGCCAAGATGAGGGTCACAGAGGCACAAGCCGGGCCCAGCCGAGCATCCCGGGCTGAGGAGCCCAGGAGAGTTGGCA